AAACTAGTCGGTTTAGCTATTGTGGTAAAGTAGTACACGATATTTAGTGCGCAAAAATTACTATTTTCCTTGACGACATCGATAATTACTATTGTTTTCTACAATAATAAAGAAGGTGTTGCAGCGTGGGAGAGACCATGGTCTGCGATCGTACAACGACTACCGTAGGCTGTGTCAACTTGAGCCAATTACTAGCTTTGATGAGGTTTGAGATTACTCAGGCTATTCTAGTCATTCGAATATTTTCTCTTCTGTTTCTTTGTGAGGTTTTCCAGTCCCAATACTTTTTGAATTCTTCCCTTTTCTCACAGATTGTTTGCCTTTAGTGGCCAGAGGTGACAAGGGAAGAGGTCCGCAAACGAGTAGCTCAACTCTACAAGACACCAGACGCTGCAAGTTTTCCTTTCGAAAGTTATAGTTCTAGAACATAAGCGTGAAGCTGTGTTTCACTATTACTAACTAAAATCCATTGAAATACTATTGAATTCTGATCACAAACAACAACAGAAAAGACTGCAGTTGTTAAACATTTGTGTTAAATTTTGTTTGTAAACAATTATAGCTTGACCTCTATGTGGGTGGAGTTATCGAAGAGCCTATTGATGGCAGTCTTGTCGGCCCGACATTCGCTTGCATCCTTGCAGAACAATTCGTACGTCTTCGGGATGGTGACAGGTACTGCGTTTCGCAAATTTATAACTGCGTTTGCGAATTTTGGAAGTCGATGACCTCAAAAAATATACTTTGAACCACTAATTTAACTTTGAACTATATATTCACTAGTTTGGACACTTTGATGTCCTGCCTTCACTATTAAAGCGGTTCCGAGCATAGTTTTCATTCGTATCCTTGTTACGAAAAAATCGTCACCTGCGAGCACTCTGTTCCGAACATAATGACGTCCATGTTAAGCATTAGTCACTGATATTAGCGAGGCCTTAATACTTCATCGGAACGACGTATGGTCGCCATTTTTTTTCGTTCGCACCAAACCTGCATAAATATCAAGCTAGTACATTATCTAATTGAAAATTTTTTCCCGCAAAAGTTATTGAATTTTCGAAAAAGGTTACCACTTTGCTATTAGTTAATATCAAAACGGCGGTCATTCCTGGTACGGTTTACTCTTAGCAGAGCTTTCCGTGTGAGACATCGGACTCCTTCTATACTTGAGTGGCCCCGCTGCTGTGCTGGGCTGAATCCTCCGCCGTACTGCGCAGTCCGCCACCCAGGAACCAACTAATAATAAAAATAAATGCAATATCATAATAATAGTAATAGTAATAATAACAATGCCCTTCTTATCGACTGTATTTGAGACTTTGCTTAAGGCCTACAATCAAACAACATATTTTGAGCTTTTCATGAGATTTGTTATGACAACTCTAGTGCTAGGCGTATGTTTCGACCTATTCTAATGGGCCTCATCAGTAGAACCTGCCTTACGGTTCACCCAATCTTCTACACATAAGGAATTAGACGCCAAACATCTGACACTGCACGCTCGGTGGAAATGTCACCTGACATGGCAGTGATCGACTGCTCGATAGCTGGTAAACGTATATTGTAATGCCTATTTTATCGAATGCTTCTGACCCTCGCTCAAAACAATATAATCTGGAAACATATTTTAGGCCTTCCATGAGATCTGTTATAACACCTCTAGTGCTAGCAAGACAACAGATTATACTGCATTGAGCGAGGTCTCAAAAACACTCGATAAGAAAGGTATTACATTATACGTTTTACCAGTCATCAAGCATTAGACTCACTGCAATGTCAGGTGGTCTTTTCACCAAGCGTACAATGTGATGCTCGGCGCCGAATCCCTTACATGTAAGGGATTGGCTGAGTCAAAAGGGCCGTGCCACTGGTGAGGTTTGCTAGAGTAAGCCGAAACGCACACATAGCACTGCGAAAGCTATAACAGACTTCAAGAAAAGCATGAAATATGTTATCCAGTAATGATAAAATGGATAAAATGATAATACCAAGAGATAAGGATATAACATGTTTTGAGCCGTTAAGGTGTTACACAGGAGCCTGTTTCGTCCTAATGAAACTTATCAGTAGCACCCTCCCTCAGTTAAGCCGATCCTAATTAATCCTCTATAGAGGAGTCGACTCCGAGTGAAAAAATTTGAATTAGGACTAGATTTAACGGCTCAAAACATGTTAGATCCTTATCAGATTGTATCGTTTTGAGCAGGTCTATAATAAGCGGTCGAAAGGAGAATTATCAGGAGAATTTCACCATTACATAATCCCATTGCTGAGATCCTGGTTGCTACCGCATTAGCAAACTCTCCGATCTACAAAATTCGACCACTGTCCTCGTTGAAGGACTGGGAAGGCTCTTATAATGTTTTTGATGAAGGCTGATGAACGACCATCATGCAACATATGATTGAGAACAGAAGATCAAGATTCGTAAGCTTTAGTCGGATTTATACACGAACATGGTGTTCCGAATGGAATTCGTCCGTGAAGAGAATGACTGAAAGTGATGAGGGTGGCATGTCATGTGAAAGCATATAGTCTACGTGTTCTAACGAATTTCGTAACCGGATGTCCCCTATCCTATGTTTCATAGGAATTTTTTCTCTTTTTTCATTTTTTGATGAATTATCTCTCCAGATTCTACTACGAAAACGAAGCAGTCTTCACGCGAGATCAGGTAGCTGCACTGAAAGCAGTAACATTGTCGTGGGTTTTGTGCGAAACAGGTGACAGGTGAGTATGGCACACATTCACTTCGCAGTAGAAATGAAGGCGTGACTGTATGGATATATAGTACCGTACTCATCCCTTAAAAACATTCTACTAACATTTATTGATGGGTGAAGAGGAAGGGAACGTAGAACTTGAGCCTATAGAAGTTGCTTGTCATTGGGACGTGAAGGCAATACAAATCTGCTCAAAGCTGCTGGCCGTATCATTGTGTCTTCTTTATCTCTCTATTACGGATTCTATTAAAGAAAATGATACACGGTATCTCTGTATCTTTAAATCTATTAGGAATTTACGGCAATTTTTCATCAAACGGCAAGAGAAAATGCTAATAATCTGATGCTCTTCATTCGCTGTTGACCTGTTAAGCTTTTAAGAATTGTACCACGACGAGGTCAGACTCAGAAAAGACGAATTAGTTGCCACAAAACACAAATCTATACTTCAACAAGTTGGTACCAAATGCGACTATTTTTTCTATGGTCGTTGCTTCTCTATTTTAGGCAGCATGTTTTTTAAGACGAAAGTTGTCTTTGGAGAAAGTTCTTAATCGTTGATCGTAATAAAAGACAAAAATCTATTGCTCCAATTTACAGCACTATAAATATTTTAGTATAACAAGAATTGCTCCGAATGCATTCACTACTGACCGTGGAGAGAAAGCCGTGCCGTGTAGCAAGCTGAAGAAGCTTGATCTTTCGCCATGGAAAGAATAGGTACTTGTTTTGAGTGCTTTAATGTTCTCTTTTTCCAAACAAAGCAAACCAGTTTGTGGATTTTCCATTAGCATGACTCAACATGTGATGGCTTAATGACATATAGATGGATGCTACTGAGAAATTCAGTAGTCCTTGGCGGAATTTTACCACCACCTCCACTATCTGTTAAACTTTACTTCCTAGTGCATTAGAAAGAAAATAACCTTATGAGTCCTATAAAATCTTCTTCACGCAAATCTTACAATACCATTGTGATGTTACTTCGCCTTAAGACATGGTTGCATTACCACTACGATGCCTACCCGCTGGTGTACCGCCAACAATTATACTATGTTTCCGTCTTGATCTTCCTTACTTATTTTTTGCCGTCGTGAACAAAAGTACAAACTACTTCATCTGGAACCGATTTCGGTATATATAGACTAGATGTCGCGGTTCGTCTGGGGAACGCGTAGGAATAGTTTAGTTTTACTGGTGATTCAACTACAACAATTGCGTTTTAGAGACGTTGGGAATGAATGTGTGTTTTTTTTTGTTCGAACTATTGTATTGATGTCTTTCCACGCGCATTTTGACGTTGAATGATACTAGGATTCATCGCATTAACGAACACTGTCGATCACCAAGAAACATTAGTGATCGCCATAACGAACAGCTTAAAATAAACAACAGTTACAAGAAGACCACCACAATAACAACAACATTTAACCAATTATAACGGTAGATGATGACGCTATGGGGTGTGAGCCTGAATGTATGATGTCGCGAATTTCAGATCTCTAGATGAGTGAGAGGAGCTACACAATTCATGGAACAGTAACTATACACCTTGACAAATTACACGACGAGTCGGAACGTCTCAAGCTTCAGAACGGCTTCTGCGAAATTCGCATGAGGCACAGAGTGCCAAGTTTGAGATTTGGCTTCTCACTCTTCTACTTATCAATAAGCCCGCACGCTTTGACTCAGCGAGCGATAATGGACGCGCCATATTTTCACCACATATTCGAGAGGGCGGTGGAAGAGCTCTCTGATAAGGGGACGGATGGGCTCGAAACCAAGTAGGCGAGAGAAGACCTTCCTGAAAACGACATGAATAGGGAAGCTCCGGGTCGGGTGCTGGACGAAAGGGATTTGGAGATGGGGGCCCTACAAGATGTCATACTCGTAAAAACTTCACTAAAACACATCTTAAGGGGCCCTCTTCGCCATCACCACTTTCATGCAGGACCCGACCCTGGGCTTCCTCATCAATTTCTTCAGCAGGAAGGTCTTCTCTCGCCTCCTCGGTTTCAAGCCCATCCGTCCCTTATCATAGAGCTCTTCCTCGGCCTTATCGAATATGAGATGAAAAATATGGTGTGTTCATTATCGTCTGATAAATCGAAGCGCGTGGGTTTATTGACAAATAGAAGAGTGATAAGCCAAATATCATACTTGGCACGCTGTGTCTGATGTGGATTTTGCTGAAGCCGTCCTGCGCTTGATGTGATAGACGGTGTTTTGAGCGAGGTACAGAACCGGCTTCGACTTCCTGTGGTGCATCACTTTGATGTGATGATTCAGTGATAGAATGCTTGCCTGCCACGCGGGCAATTCGGGTTCGATTCCTGGCCAGTGCATCACTTGTCGTGGTTTCAGTGGAGACGCGTAGGAGAGGTTTAGCTTTATTGCTGTTCAACTAGAATAGTTGCGTTATAGTGACGGTTGCGGGTGATCTGCCTTGTCTGGTCGATCTGTTGTATTGATGGTTTTGAAAAGAAGGTCTTGACGTTGGATGTTGCTAGATCTATACCTTGCACGTCGATCTTCAAGTAACACTATTGATGTCCATGACGAACAACCTATAATAAACAACAATTACAACATAATCACTATAACAAGAACAACAGTATGTAATGCGATGATAACGGTACATGATGATGGAAGGGATGTAAACCTAAGGGCATGGTGGCTCGAGCCTCAGATCTCTAGATGAGTGGGGTAGGCAGACAGTGTATAGAGCAGTAACTGTACACATAGGCAAATTCATAATGAGCTGAGAGGGCAAAGTGATGTGATCATACGCTGACAGTTTCGACTCAGCATCCGAGGCGAATGAACTGCAGTGGGAGTGACTTTTTGTCCGATCATCCTGCAGGTGTTAGCTTAGTTAACTAAACATAGTTCGGTGGCCAACTGCGGGTGAAAAACCAATCATCCGCCTGCCGAAGAAAGTAACGGTTGCAATTACTTACTGCTTGATAATGCTGATAATCTACAAGTAGAATATTGAACATTAAGTGGCATGCAATCAGCATATAAGGGAAAGGAAAAAGAAGTTATTTAGGGGATTAACTAATATACTAGAGATAATAAGACTTGGGATAGAAGAAGGTACACGATCAAAGAAGACTTGTAACAGAACTATTTCCTAGCAAACTTTTGGCGTGCCTTTGACTATAATAACGAAATAAGACTGTAACAGGGCACGATTGCAATTTAGAGAATAAATCTAATACTTTCTTTTCAGCTAACCACCAAGTGACAACGCGAGTCACTAACTCTTGCATATTACAGACAGGGAACATTGCTCAGCTAATAAATTTTGTGCCACTACCGATAGTACTAAGTAATAATTGAGTTGGACAAATGATATTTCTTATTCGTTTATATATAGATGTAACTTTTGAATATGCAATTAATAAAGATATCGACATGCATCCATTTGTGAAGGGAAACGAATTTCACTATGATATTCGAATACTGATACTGAAACTTTGTGTCGAATTTATCAGCTCCATACTTCTATGCCAGTCGATGAACTATATCACCGATGGTGCATTTTTTCATGTCACCTATCCATAGATTCATGTCATCCACACTTCCATGCCGATAGATGAATCACACAACGTTATGCTACATTCTTATCTTAACAGCGCTTAGATAACTTTTATCGGGCAAAAAACATCGTGCTCAGCTAAGACAGTATAATCAGAGACATACTGAGATATGAGCAGAACTCGGAGTCTCGGATGAGTGTCAAACCCGCGATTGTTAGTAGGCGCTCGTGTGCTATCCATCGCATTAACCAGTTCCATGGTTTGCCTTCTCTCAGCCTCTTTTAAATCTACTGTGCTATCAACAACCATGTGTCAACGGCAATGATCTGGAAAGCAAAAAATCGGAAACGAGATTTATTAAGTTAAAATTGCACTGGAAATCACAACGCACGTGCCTTTTTAAGCCTATTATTCTGTTGCTGAATAATGTTAAGATGATGAATAAAAAGATAAGACTTCAGAAAATATAGTTTTTGTGAATAATGAACCTTCTATCTCAACATGTGACTCGACTATTAGGAAAGTTTTCCCAATGGCCGTCGAATCATTTCTAGAACGAGAACTCAAACTGAGAATGCAAAAAATCGGCTATATTCTCAAAAATCAAGTTCATAATTATATTAAATGGTTGATTCGCAGAGCAAGATGAGTTGTCTAGAACTTTCATACAATAGGTTTCACTTCAACAGTCACCACCAGCGCAATTACAGCGAAGCCATGAACGGTGCACTCGTCTTTGCAGGTTCATCTCGATTCACTATTTTCTGATAATGTTTACTTTATTTGCTGCCTAATTCATTCTTAACGACAGAATGCGATGTGATATATAAGCACAGAAATGCTGAAATACGGACAAAACTTGAAGCTGAATGTTAGAAAAGTAAGAAAGAGAATTAGGCAATAAATAAAATCAGCATTGTGATTTTGACCACTGTTTCAGCTTAAATAGGTTTAATGCTGATTTCTGCTCAGCAGACTGATTCTCTGTTGACGGGTGATGGATGACAGCGAGCAATTAGTTGAAACTTGGCTGAGAGAAAAGCAGAGCGAAAGATTGAGTCCATTCCATAAACATCATGCAGATCGCAACTTCTGCTCATATCTCAACATTCGTGTGATTATTTTCAGATAATAACAAAGCTGAGCTCATACGGTCCAATTTGTAACACTTCATGTATGTGCATATAATGTTTACATCTGAGTCCGAACCCGATGCTTCACAAACTGCTTGCATTTTGGTAACCAGAATCCATGAGGATTTTGAATTGTGATTGGCTTATACAAGAAATTTCATGTAATTACAAGCAAATATGATTGGCCAGAACTGCTGCCTGGTTTCTAAGTTGTTTAGGAATTTTTGAAACACGATCCATCATCGCAGCCTACTATGCGAATTCCAGCATTCAGTGTATTCCATTAAGTTTATCGCATTCATCTTCCACAGAAGTTCTCGACTATTTACGTGCTACTTCAACTAGTGCTTGAGGATTTCGTCTTCTTAGTAATTTTGTAGAATACTGGATAAGACAGTTCCATTGAAATCTTGGGAGTAGTAAAACCAAAGCGTCCTCAGGTGTTTATTTGACTGATTGCAAGACTACTTTGAGCAAAGGATCGCTACGACTAGTGGTTACCAAGACGGCGATTTTCCTGGTACGCTTTGACCTTAACTTGGCTCTAGGAATGAACGATGGACTACTAGTCAACTTTTGTGGCCCGGCTCGGGGTTGAACCTCGGCTGTACTACGCAGTCCGACATCCAGGAACACCTCCCAGCCACGGTGAGGTGGCAAATCATTTGGGAGACATCCACTAGTAAACGAAGTAAATTAGAGAACTCGCTTCTTTATTCCGAAAGAAGTTCTTTCTTTGAGCGGCTTGTCTCCAATAAATATTTGGAAGACTTGAAAAACAACTAAATAGTGAGTGTTTCACATGAAGCTTTTTACTATGAGGTCCAAAAAACTATTCAAAACGTCTTTCTGGCAGTGTTATGATAGTACTTGACTTAGTAGCTTGCGGGTCAGCTTGAGTCTCCCAGGCTCTGAAGGCGAAACTCGCCAAATCGACGCAATCCGTTATTACGACCTTAGGCGTGCTTGACAAGAAAAACACCACAGTGTTTACTGCCAGAAGTTACACAGAAGAAGAATGACCCTCACGGCTGAAGAAAGTAATCTTGGTTAGTCCTTATGTTTTGATATCACACTGCTGTTCATTTGTCGGCAAGAACTCAATACGATCGACAAACAAGTCAATTTTCTCTGAAACCAGGTACACGTGGTCTGAGGTCTAAATCCCGCAACATGTTCAGGCGTCCAGAAGACAAACAGTTTCTAGATGAGAAATAAATTGTTCACTATCCATTGCAAATAAACTTTATTTTTTGATAAATTTGAAAAACGTTCCAATAAACAATGAACACATTGACACCAATAAGTAACAGCTCGGGCTAAACAATTTTCAGGAACCCAAACAGCCCTAACGCAAAATCTCCCTGTCTTCTACCTATAACAATAAAACAAGGCAGAAGGCATAACAAATGAAGTTGAGACAAAATTGGTTATAGTTTACAAAATCATAGCCAATAAGATATGCAAGAATTTCAACGACCGACTAGATCGGCTAGATTAACGACCATAGGGAAACGAGATGTGAAAGAATGTTCACAGTCGCCGAGAAACAACTTATTGGCAAACAAGCACAGGAGCGCGTTGATAAAAACCGTAAAAACGGTACAAAACCTATACAAGTTCGTCTTCTCCTAATGGAGCTAAGGTTTTCTGGGTATCAAGGGCTACCATTATTTGTTCCTCAACAAGTTCATCTGCTTTAGAATTGTCTGTATCCACGCCGTCTTAAAAGTAGATGACTTATAGCAATATAAAAAAAACTATAGAGTTAATGAAGAGGAAAACAAATAAGAACCTCGAAGAGAGATCCTGAGTTCCCTTTCCGCTGCGATTTTTTTGAGATTCTTTTGCCGGATCAGCTCGAATGCTGTCATTATCTTTCTGAAAGTTGGTACAGGATAATGTGCAAGCATTTGTTCAACGCGACGATGTGTGATAGTCCAGAAGTGTAACCAAGATTATTTTCCTAACTTACCTTCTCTTCTCCACCACTTCTTGACTAGCCCGATTCTTCTCCTCGTTATCCTCACGTTCAAATCGGACAGCGGTTTTTTTAAGATTGTTTTTGATTTCCTTAATAAGCTTATCTATGGGGGAGAACCAAAATACGTAATCCGAGGTTACTGTGGCAGGCACAAACATTATTTTTACGCTGACAAATGGTGATAAACCTTTAATTTCTGATCGCTGAGCTTCACTGGTGGACGGGGTCGCCATTTAAATTGCGAGAGGCGCTCCAGACCTTTCCGACAAAGTTCGCGTCCCTGTGATATAATTATAATGGATGAGTAAATACGTCTACAAATAGAAAAATTATATTTTTAAAAAAGAAAAATTAGTATTCGCTATCAAGTTGTCAAGGCACAAGAAGTGCCCTTGTAGTGCCTCGATGTAGTCCTTGTATAGGCCACATGTATTCACTTACGAATGAAGTCATGCGACTGCGACTGCGAAGTCATGCAAATGAAGTCATACATGGCATATTACAACAATGAGTAATTAATACAGATCAAAGCGCTCGGTACTGATCACCTTAGGACCTGCGTCATGCATTCGACGTAACCAGGCATAGTTAGATAGTGAATGCATGCATAACCTTTACATGAGTCGCGACAGCCTACTGATATACTAAATAGTGTATCTATCCTTCTAGATTAGTTTGGCATCAAT